TATCAATATATGATACCAAAGCATTCCATCAACACATGTAATATCAAATTTCAAATAATAATCAATGCACTAATTAATTGGCTTTAATACGTACATACTTGCGTTTGATATATACTACCAACTGCAAGATAGTCAATGATCGTAACTGTGTTTATCGATTTTCCAGAAAATAAGATGTGTCAATTCGGTAACATGATGATGCACATAGGTGACGAACTGAAACAAGGAACCGACTACGATTCTACGTGTATAAAATGCGTATGCGAAGTGCCACCTACTCCGACGTGTCAACGACTTCCCGATGACGTATGCGATGTTACATCTGGGCCTCTTAATTAATATTACAAAAGTCTGTGATACGCCGTTTGCATAGGTTATTGATTCTAGAGTCTCATGTACCTCAAGTTAAGTAACTAATCATTTTTAACAATTTCACAAATGAAGCTTTCGTTGTTAAAGTATCTCAGTCGGAAATTCTGTGATAATTTGATAATTTGTTACAGACATTTTAAATAGAGAAATAGCATTGCTTTCTTAATGGATAATTTGTTTTATTATTATTATTTACCTAATTCTTATTATGTGAAATATATCATGCACATATTAGCTTGTTTAATTTTAAAAGATATCGAAAATTTTAATTAAGTTGGGGACTTCCACGATACTGCTTTACCGTGCCGTACTTGGTATATTGCACCCTTCTGTACCAACTGATGGTTTTTCTCAAAGGACCACCCAAAGGACTGAGGTGGGTGAGGAAACACCGTTATACTGTTTTCACCTCAATTTATTAAGATATAAGTGCAATGGTAGGTGTACAATTCACCCGGAAAATACAATCGTTTTATGCGTTAACTGGCCCTGCGGCATCGGTTCGGCGGGTACATCTCGACGGTTGGTAGAAGAAAAACTGAACTGGAGAGTGTTTTTCATTAATAATTCAAACACGAAGCGTCAACCAACATTTTGGTCAAGGAAAAAGTTCAGAGTCACCTCAGCAACCCCCCATTTTCGGGTGTTACACCCTTTACGGGACACCCGGTATATAGACGCAGATAGTTCACGATGAATGAGTGATTATATTTTTATTGTCTTCAAACAGTTGAAAAAACATAAAAGTAAAAGTATAAAAATAAAATAATAAAGGGCCATCGACCGTACCACCGCCACGAAGCGGCGGCGTACCCTCTGTCCTGATTCTTGCCCGTCCTTACACAACCAATGAAACCTGCATTCCTTCCGTCTATCAACTTACCAGCTGCGAACAGTATAGTAATATCTCTTATACTGTCACTTTAATCGGAACCGAGAGGCGCCAGTTTGGGTAGAGGAGACACGGTTTTTGAGGGTCGCTGCCCGTTTTGAAGCTTGCCGAACAAGAACAATGAATAAAAGATACGGATGAAATGAGGGTTGAGGCAACCGAAAAGGAAAAATGCAAATAAAGTGATAATCTTACTTTCTAATTAAGTCTTTATGAACTATAATACAACTATATGTTAATAATCTAGTATGTGGTACATGTTTCGGTCAATATAAGATCAGACTTCTAAGTTATTGAACTTTTAAAAAAGAAACGAAGGAAAACCGTCTTGCCCCTACTACGGAGTAAAACGGGGTACCGAAAATGGGGCAAGATGGTTTGTCTAAGTACTCGCACAATTGATACAAATATGTATTTCTTCGGGATTGTTTTCATTAACTCCTGCACAGGAATTATGAGACCAACGTCCACAAAGTTGGCATGCAACCCAACCTTCTGTTGATTGTAGATATGAATTCTTCCGTTGATTTTGTAAATTTTGTTATTTTTTTCTTCTGCTCTTTTGCATTCTTCTTTAATCGAGGATCATTCGGATTAGAACATTTCTTATTTTCTAAACGTTTTACATTCTCAAGTTTTTTTTTATATGCATTCGAAGTAAGAATTGCAGTTTTTCCACGGCGGTAGTTCTTTTTGGCCTCTTTTCGTTGAATTGCAGGTATTGCTAAGATGTCTTTAGGAGAAACATTTTCAAAACTAGATGTCAGATCGCGACCAGCAGTTTCAACAGGTGATGAGATTATGCTGCACTACTTTTGTCTATCAAGCTGTTTGAACATGGTTCGGGATTGAAAACAGGTGGGGCATTTTCCTGACTTCAAGTGGTATCAGATTCTGCAACAATCGGTATATTTGTCGTTTCTGCAGCAATAAAATCGGAATCTACAAAATGGTTTGGATTAAATGGCCAAATTCCGCATTTTCTAAATCCATTAATAGCTGTTAACATATGTAGTTTCTCATGAGTACTCGAATACCCGGTTAAAAGTAATTGCCCTATTCCAAAGGCTCTGGCTCCGTGAGTTTGAATGAAAGGTTCAAACATTACAAGAAAAACGAAAAAAACAGAAATCTCAGAAACAGCTGAAAAACTGGGAAGTGACAGTTGAGAAAAAGCGGAGACAGTTTCGTCTCCGAAATCATTGTTCATAGTCATTTGACAAAATTTTATGCAAGTCTGGAAACACCTGATATATGGGTTCTATTAAATATTTTTACGTTAACACTGTTTTACCAAGTTCAAATTGTTTACTGTTTTAAACTTTATAACTTATACATATCGAGGAATAAAAATTTCTTATGGCATTTTACTCTTAGTTTAGTAATTAAAAAGATACTGTTAATGAAAGTTGCTACTTTTCGTCGACTTTTTACGCATCTTCTTCACATAAATGAATTTTTATCTTCAGAACTATTAATTGTATGAGCATGACTCCTTTTTTAATTTTACTGTAGAGAGTTTGAAGTTCTAAAATAATTTATTACTGACATGAAAAGCTACGTCTACTTTGCAAAAATTAAAAATAAATTTTTATTTAGCAGTTTTTGGATATTATTTTTAAAAATATGAGAAAAATATTACATTCCTTGAAGCTTCTTCTACCACATGTTTGTATTTTGCATACAGTTTATACGAAATTTTCGACGTCTATCATAAACCCCGAAGAAACCGCTAGAGAAAGTTGTCGCCTTCAGTTTTTCTCATTTCTTAACTTACCCCATCTGGCGCGCAGTGTACTCTGCCACCTATCTTCAAATACTGACCAATAGAAGTAATTTCAGAATTTTTCATGGAATGTTTTCCTGAACAAGGTAGACAAAGAAAAAGAAACACTTCTCTCACAACAGTTTTACTCAATCTCCTCGTACAAAATCAAGTTACCATGTGAGAAACACGTAAAAACTAATCAAATACTACAAGTAGTACGCGTCAAGAAACAATATCTTCTTAACTACTAAACTGTAAGATATTTGTTTTGAAATCACCCGCCAAATATAACTATAGTTTTGTTCATCTGTCAAACATCGCCCTGTATATGCGAACATATAAAATTATATGTATAAATGAGGTATAGGGTACCTTGTACTGCATTTATTTTATCGTCACATTTATTGTTAGTTTCAATTCCCATAACTACTAAATAGTAATCTCATTCTGTGCTAATCGGTAACGTTGGAAATGACACGAAAATGGTAAGGTGGTTCGCAAGCCCGCCAAACCATGTGTCACAAAAAAGTATTACGTGTTAGGTCTATTCTGTACTTCATCTTTCCTTTTATACAGTCTCATCATGATTTAACATTTTCATATATCATGTATGTTTTCATATTTAATATATTTCAATTTTGTATTCTACAAAAACGTTTATATACAAAAAAGAAAATGATTAGAATATCATTCGATCTTCCATGAAATACCTGTTGCAATATTTGGATGCTTTTTTGAGGCAATATTTCTACAGTGTAACGGATAATTTCGGCAAAATGTACGTTCAAAATGGTAACAAATTTCTTAATAAAATATGTTACGTCTATAACGATAAGTAGTATAAATTAAACAATTTTATGTTAAATAATTTTTGACAAATGATCTGTGAAATAAGTTTAAAATTTGGTTTTTACCAACAAAAAGTCATTATTCGTTTTTTTATGACTTCTCTTGTTAATAATCCCTTTAATTTTATGAACAATAAGTTTGATTTTTAATCGTGGCTTTTATTACACTCTTACAAATTTCTGAAATGCTCATTATAGGCGAACATTTCAAAATAAAGAATTTAATTCGTTTTGAATAAAAATAATCCAATAAAATTAAACATAAATTAAAATGAAATTAATTTTGTTCCTTTATAATAAAAAAATTTTAAAAAAAGGCAAAACAATTATTGAAATAACGATAAAATGTTATTTTTATATGTTATGAATTTATTACAATCTTTATCTGAATTTTTGTATAAGCATCAAACTTCTATTATATTTTTATATTTACAAATAAATTATCGTTGATTAACTTAATGTTATAACAAGCAGATTAACATAGAGTCATCAGAAATTGTTCATTTTGTTTCAAAATAAAATTGTTTTTCACTTTATTCTTTTACTTAATTGTTAATACGATGATATTTTCTTTCTATGTAAAATATTACCAACGACTTATACGTACTTACACAGTATATCATTATTTTATTGCATATTAAAAATATTTTAGTCATATGAATTATACAATTAAGAATTAATATCGCTAAATAATTGGGTTTCTAATATTCATAAATTAATATTTGTTTGTTTTTATACATATATACTTTTGTATAATATATTTTCATATATGTAGATTTCTCATATACTTTTTATACAATATACTTTTCCTCTTATAAGTTAGGACAAATAATTTACTATTGTGTGAGACTGCCGAGTATTAGATGCATGATATTAATTAACTCTCTTATAATTGATCTTATCATAAAAAAGTAAATATGCACTAAAGAATGTTTTGTTCCCTTATAAAAAGTAAATACAACTTTAATCTCAAAAATATTTTCTTTACAATTTGTTTTTGTTTTAAAACATATATTTTCATAATTAATAACTTTAATGAAAATCGTAATTATACGAAAAGATTTTCTTTTCACGTTTTACAGTAATACTGACGTAAAATGATATATTTCATGTTAATATTTCATTTTTCACGAATTTCTCTTAAAAAAACTGTACCAGTTGAGGATCAACATTAATAAATTTGAGTCTTCTTTCGAAAATCTCAAAGTCAACTGTTTGGAGGGAAGTAGCTGGATCCTTTTCTTTTGGAAGAAAACGGCATAATAATCGCTCTGCTGCAGCACACAAACCAAACCAACTTTTCACAAACAGCGGTTCTTTAATTTCACCAATCATAGACTTCAAGTATGCTTCTTGCTCATGAGTAATAGGCTCACCCATTACATCTCCAAGAGCTTTATAAATGTCGTCTGGTGAAATATACCTAGGAAATTGCACTAAATATTTTTCAAAGGGTATACGATACCTTTGTGAGTTACGCATACGACATTTAACGTTTTTGCTGAGATACTCCAACACCGTTAACCCTAGAAAAAGTTTTAAGTAAGTTAGTGACTTTTGTTTAAATTATGTAAAATCAATTTGAAAATTTCAAATTTACTTTGCAAAAGCACTTATATATTAAAATAATATTTTTTATTACTCAAACCTCGAAAAGTAAAACAATATATGTACATATATGATGTTAGAGAAAAAGTAACCCTTTTCAGAGGCTAAACTAACAGAAAATGCTTAGTAAATGTGAGCATTTTTATTAGGTGTTGCATGTTTCTGCATTTTTATGATCAGGGCATCTGCAAAGTTTATGTACATATGTGAAAATTGCTCAGCCTTTTTTATGTTGTACCAGCATTCTAGCCAAACAATCTGTCAATGTTATGCAGTTTTCAAATAAATAAATTTCTTTTGTTATATTACATATAAATTTTTAACCATAAAAGTTAGAAGCAATTGTTACACAAAATTATATAATTTTAGACAATCTATCAAAATGTGAGAAAACATCATTTTTTAATACCTCATATGTAGTCATATTTTTACATTTATGCATGGTATCTTAGTTCATTCATATTTTGAAATTTGCAAAAACTTGTTTTCTGCAACAAGGGAAAAAATGTCTGTTTTATATAAAATTATTTTTTCTTCAATAAGTATTTATGATAGTAGAAGAATAGCGTTGGAAGTGGTTTCTTTAGTGAAGCAGCATTTTCATAATAGTTGATACTAATATATAGTTTTAGGACATAAGTACCTTAATATACTTTTACAAAGGATAAAAAAACTGCATTAAATAGTACACTGAAAAATATGGGATTCTATTTAAAAGGAATGTGCAATCTCACTTTTCAGATGCACCCATGCATAAAAGTGTAGGAATAAGTAGTATCGAATAGTCTTCAGCTACTTTAAAAATACACCTTGTTTCAGTTGTATGAGATGCATACATGACGATTTATTTAAATTATTTATAGCTTAACAATTAGTTACCATGTAAACTTTCACTGCCAAGAATTTCAAAACGAACAGCGCGACGGGAAAATACTCTTGGAAGATCTGCGAGTACAGGGTTTGAAAGTTTTTGAGATCGTTTTGAATGTGAATAATTTTCTCCTTTCACTCGTAAAGCTTCTTGTAACGCAATTTTTCTCTGAAATTGCACAATTTAACAACATTACATTTAATTATAACAATTTTTATGTAATTGATTTCACTTATTTTTTGTAATAAGTGTGCAGTACAGTTTACACTCTCACCCTAACAGAAAATTCTGCATCTATTTTGTCATTATCTAACTCTCTGTATAAATGTTTTAAGATATTTGCATCGATGAAACTAGGAAGCATTGTAGAAGGTGTATTATTCATTGCAGAGGTCCTGTTAGGAGTAGCTACTAAATTCTCTGCATCACCATTACTTGTAGGAATTCTGTTAAACAGGGTGGAAACAATGCTGTATTAATGAAAAAAATATATAATAACATTATTTTTACTAACGATGTTCTCGTGGATTTATTTCCTATATGAGAAATTTGGGTTTCAGTTGATTCAAGTAAGTCACAGACTTCTGTTTGTTGTCCATATGCTGAACCTCTTCTACACTTCCCTTTGCATAATCGTTTGCCTCTCCTACGGACAACTGTTAATTCCTTACTTGGTTTTTTCACTTTACTTTCGTCTGTGTTTCTACTGGAGTTCTAAGAAATTAGAATGTTTGGTGACTTTACAAGATTAAACAATATGTAAATTTAAAAATACCCATTACCGTTAATTCATTTATTAAATTTCAAGTAAGTCACAGACTTCTGTTTGTTGTCCATATGCTGAACCTCTTCTACACTTCCCTTTGCGTAATCGTTTGCCTCTCCTACGGACAACTGTTAATTCCTTACTTGGTTTTTTCATTTTACTTTCATCTGTGTTTCTGCTGGAGTTCTAAGAAATTAGAATGTTTGGTGACTTGAAACATTTAGCTTTTGTTCTTTTAAAATTAATGCACAGTAATAATTACAGAAGAATTTTTGCTAAAGCAGTATGTTTTACAAAATAATTTCTCCTTTCCTTTATTCAAATAAAATATTTAAATCAAAATCGGCATATTTCTATGAAAATGGCATTAAGAATCATAATTGAGTAAATAAAACAATAACACTATAGTAAATTATTTACTGTTGCATCCATAAAACCGACATTACATTCCCACCAACCCAATGCAATTTCTTAACTTTATTTCCTTAAGTAAATTAAATTATTATGTTTCACAGAACTATCATGATTCTTTGTATACATATTTAAATGATTCAATTATAAATACCGATTCATCATAGATTTCTATACTTGGGACTGGATCCGGAATATCGGTAGGTAACTCCGGTGAACGTATCTGATGTTCACTTGTACGTCTTGAAATCGGTTTAGATATGAAAATTTCAGTTTTCCGATGAGTTGGCGCCGGTTCTAAAGTTCCAAGTGAGTCCCTCTCATGCCAAGTGAAAGTTTCATTTTCCTACAAATAGAAATATTTTAGCTATTATTGTATAATAATTGATACGAATTAACAGTCATTCTAGAAAGAATTAACAAACACACCATAAGTTAAAAATTTTCGTCTAAGTAGTTAGAAATTCTTTAAGTTTTTTAAAATTTTGAAAGTACATTTTTTAATAATAGATAAATCAATAACCACAAATTTTTACTAAATCAATAAACCGATATATCTTCCAATACAAATAGAGTACAATACAGAAATGGACAAGGCAGATTGTATATAATATCAAAAGAATTATATATTATATTTTTTTCAAATGCAATAATATGTCCTTTGGTGTAGGATTACTATTTCATTCAATTGTTTATATGTACTACAATTACAATAAGAAAAAAGCATGCTAGAATTGACAGCTTATAAATAGAACTTAGCGTTTATGGAGTATTGATTATTAATAACATGAAAAACAGAACTTGATTTTTTAACACAACTGTTTCGAGTGCTGTTTTTTTTCTCTAACATTATGTTAAAGGAGCTTTTGCTGTACAATTCATAAAAAAAAAGAATCTATTACAAATCATTTGCTTTTTTGAGTTAGTTCTAAGGTCCAAAACCAACGTAGTACGTTCCCAAGGATTGCAGTTTATTGGAAATTCTTCCTGTGTCAGTCTATTTGTCAAAATTGTACCACTGGCAGACATAGGTGTTGAGGTCAAAGGTCTTGAGTCTGTCTCGGTATATTTCTGAAATAATTCTTCAGGAACGGTAGCAGCATCGTTGGTTACTTCTGTTCCAATGTTTCTATCCACATCTACAGTATTGCTTACGGCTACTAAATTTGCCCTGATCATATTCATTTAAGTACCAGTGGACCATGAACTCCAGAGAGAAGTCCGCGAACACCTGCCAGCGAGTGCCCTGATTGTGTAAAAAGGATTACACGAGGACTGGAGCTCACAAGGCGCTACAGAAACACACAACCACGACCAACCACCAGCGACCCCCTGGAATAAGGCGACCACCTGGACACTCCATCGCCCCTAAACCCCCCAGGTCTATTTTTCTTTATTATTTGTCATTTTTCTTTATCTTTATCATTTAAGGATTTTAATTTTACCCCGTTATCTTCTTCAGTTTATAGTATTCCAACCATTATATTAATACATAGCCCATAGTTTTAATTTTTCTTTTATTTTAATTATTTTTAAAGCTTACACTAGATATAATTAGTTTTAATTTCATGTATTTCTATAACTTTTTATTTATATATAATAATTTCTTATTATTTTTGCGTAACCATTGTAAAACACGGCACCACACGTTTCGGCTCTCATTGTGGAAGCATCATAATAAACGATGTTCCCTCTGAGGGGGGAGATGTTACGTACGCGTTCTACCCGAAGCGTGCGGCGCCGAATGTTTAGTCTAACACGCACCCCCCCGATAGTCGCCAAGCAAAGGGATGAGCTTACATTCCATTCCCACGGAAATCTGACGTTCCCCACCACCAGAAATCTTAGTTTTCGGGGTATAAAAGGGTAGGATTTTCGACGATCGGGGGCAGTCTCTAATTCAGATTTTGAACATAACGTTACTCTGTCCGTCAGAGTCTTGATACGAGCAAGATCGGGTTCCAGTCCCCTTCGAGCAATAAAACGTCGCGTAAGTGTCAATCAAAATAGTACTGTTTACGACTCCTCCGCGCTCTCAACGCGTAAAGTCGAGAAGGGAGATTCTTGCCGAGTCAAGAATCGACCAACGTAAAATTTTGTAATTTATAATAGAATATAGGAATATAGAGTACTACTCGTGTCCATATTCAATCAACCCATCCTGAGTAGTATAGTAACGTACCAGCTAACCCCACGACAGATATACCTTTACCGCTCGAGGTATATCAACGACTACTACTCGCGAATACCAAACACCTTCATATCCGGTGGCATATAGCGTTGACCAAACGCTAGTGGTCCATCTCCTTCGGCTACCTTCGTTAACCATACGTTGGCACGTCCGAGACCTCCTATCTCACCTACGACACACTGTCCGGTGGCACGCGGCGTTAACCATACGCCGAATGGTCCATCTCCTTCGGCTACCTTCGTTAACCATACGTTGGCACGTCCGAGCACTCCTGTCTTACACCCGACACATCCTCCGGTGTCACGCGTCGTTAACCAATCCCGAATAAACCACCTCCTTCGGCTACCTTCGTTAACCATACGTTGGCACGTCCGAGCCCTCCCGTCTTACACCGAACACCTTCATATCCGGTGGCACACGGTGTAAACTATACGCTAGTGGACCACCTCCTTCGGCTACCTTCGTTAACCATACGTTGGCACGTCCGAGCCCTCCTATCTACACCCACGTCTACCGCGAATCGGGAAACACGCGCTTTTATATCAGGACCAAAAACCCGAACGACGTCGCAAGGCTGGTGATACCGGTCGAAATCCGCGAGCACCTGAAAACCTGCCGACGACCGTTCGGAACGCGAGCCGTAAATCCCTTAATAAAAAGGTGACAGCGGTGGAACAAGCCGTGCACACACCCTTTTTATAACATCGTGTAGGAGTATTGGTCCCTTACAATATTTTTCTGAAGTAATAGTTTCATTATTATTTAGAAAGTTGTAGTGAATAACACCTGCTTTTGACCACCAAGCTGTCACCATAACTTTCTTTTGGTGTGACTTTGGTTTCGGGAAGTGCTTTGGAGCTTCATCATCATAGTCTAGCCACTGAGCTGAACGACGGCGATTATCATACAAGATCCACTTCTCATCGCACGTTATTATTCAATGAAGAAATGGTTCATTTTCGTTTTGCTTAAGGAGTGCAGAGCAAATTTCGAATCGGCGACTTTTCTGCTCGTTGAGTTCATGGGGAATCCATTTATCAAGCTTTTTCGATTTTCTAATTTCCTTCAAGTAATTAGATACAATCGTTTTACTTACATTTAGATTTTCTGCAAGTTATCTCACAGTTGTACACGGGTCATCTTCGACATATCCTTTCAGTATATCATTATCGATGGCAGAAGGCGGCCCCTGACCTTCTTTATCTTCGAGACTTTCATCACCACCACGAAATATTTTAAACCAATGTTGAACAGTACGTTCACTAGTTGTGCTTTTACCGAATACATGATTGATATTGCGGACAGTTTCCGCGGCTTTACGTCCTAATTTAAATTCATATAAAAATATGATACGAATTTGCTTCTTGTTCATTGTTATGGTTTTATGTATGTAGGCGAAAGCAGTTACCCCCACTATGACCTACCGCCGTCTCCCACCATACCGTCGTCGTGCTCTCACTCAAGTGGAGCGGTAGCTCTGTCCGTGTGCGAAGCCTGTTCGGCTCTTTCCGCCAAATATCTACGTCACCACGTGACGCTCGAGCAACCTGAGCGCATGAGTAAGAATTAGGAGATTCCCTTTGAATCTCGGTGAGACGCAGTGTTTCGAGTATATGGGCGTTCGGGACAAAAATCATAATTTCTAAATTAATCAATTTTCGACCTAAGTTCTCTAATACTTTTTTGAAGAGAATTCAAATATGCATTGATTGGCACATAAAAAAATATATGGTTTCATTTAAAAAAATTGTAGCGATCTATATTTTTTATCGAATAAAAACTTTTTTGTAAATTTTCATTAACACGATTTATTGTCAACTGAATGCTGATTAACTTTTGTTTGAAAAATTTGTTCATCAGTTTCGCGGAAATACCGGCAAAATCGTAGCGGCCGTTTCGCATATAGGAGTTTGAGAGACAAATATCATAACTTTGTATACATTCAAAATTTCTCTTTTATTTTTGTTTTGTAATTTTCATTAGGTAGTTAAATAACAATATAAATAATTAAAAAATTGAATAACGTGAATTTACACTACCGGCCAAAAGTTTCGAATCACCGAGCATTGCAATTTACACAAAAATTTGCAGAAAAAAGTCAGCGACTTTGAGAATCAATTGATATGAGATAAATTGATAAAAGTGGAATTGAGATAAACTTCAAATCTATAAAAAATTAGCAGCAGATTTGATATCGATGACAAGTGGGAGGTGATTCCAAACTTTTGGCCGGTAGTGTATATGAATGGATTTAACACGTTGATCGCCACGTCACCCATATCTAGGTGACGGCTATGTTTCCGTGGGGGCCCGTCACTCGTAAACGGGATTTTGGGGGTAATTTATAATAATTTTATTTGTAACACAAGTATTTAATGGAATTAGCACATGCAAATGAAAAATATACAAAACAACAAAACTATATAACATAAAGTAAACAAATTAAAAATATACATATACTATATTTAAATTTGTTTTTAAAATAATATATAACATTTTATTAGTTACGATGGTATTCGTTAAAACATTGTAAACATAACTGAGGTGACTTTGCACACTTAGGACAATACGTTATATTCTTTTGTAAATTTTTCCTTGCAACGCATTGCATCGTATCGCTATTCCAGCTAATCGCGCAGTTTACACTCCGAGTATCGGATTTGGGCCCCGGGAGAAACTACCGATTCACGCTGGGCGATCAACGTGTTAATGGAGCAAATTTCACGTCTAAATTTTAACAACTAATGGATGTATTCAGTCAAAATTATAGGTAATATTACAAACAACGGTTTGTTATCTTAAAATGAGTAAATTTTTAGATTTTACACTTTGAATTTCTGATTTTTGTCCATTGATCGAAACACTGTGCGTCGGTGTTACATTTTATTTTTAATTATTTTGTAATTTCATTTTGTAACTTTTCAGCGAAATGAAAAATTTGAGAAATATTGATGTGCAAAGCACTTACCAAGGAGACTACATACCTGTCCCCCGGGGATTTTGATAAAATTTGAAGGGATGAATCTAGAAGTCGAAAAATGACATTCTGTAAAATGTTTCATTTCAATGCGCATTTTATATAAACAATTGAAATTATTTCTATAAAACTTCTGAAGTTTAGGCACTATTCAACAATCGACAGTAGGTGTGACAAGCGACAGGTTTTTATTGTAAATTTCTCCTAGTCACAACAGCTCCAAGAACCTTTTAGCAATTTTTTTTTCACTCACATATTTGGTGTTATTCTTTTCACTGAGAAAGGTTTTAGAATATTTAATTCTTTGATGTTCAACACTTTCACAGCCAGAAGTTCTAGTCGGCAATCTATAGTTACATCCTGCATCTTTATCGTTCAAAAAGTAATGCAAGTTATAAAAGTTGCTTTAAAACATCTGTTAGGGGCTTGCGGTTGATCTTTCGATCGTTCAAGCTTTGCCGGTTTTGCACGTGTGTGCCGACTAATGTTCTAAGTCTTCCAAGGACCAGTTTCTTGATTGAAACACTAAGTTTTTATTTTATGTTCTATTTTCTACAACTAATTCAAGATATAAATTCTATTGCGAAGTCAAAGGTGTTTCACTTGTGAGTGGCCAAGTGTTTCTCCCGCGAGTTGCAAAGTGTTTCTCCCGCGAGTTGCTAAATGTTTC